GCCACCCACCCCACCCCCCCCAGGATGGGGTAGCAACCCTGCAGGTAAATCCAGAAGACTAAAATCACGGCTTAAAGCCAGGCCATGAAAATAGTTCGTGCTTCCCAGTTCTCGTCGCCAGTTTGGTTAAGTCCCGGAAAGCCCGTGTGAAGTCACGCTCGGTCAAAAAGCTGCAAGGTCTTTATGTATACACACAGTCAGGCCCGAAATTAAAGAAATTAAATAGCTAGAAGTAAGGAAGCAGCTCCTATTTTCACCTTATTAACTGAGGAGGGAAATATAATGAGTTGGCCGAACGTTATCCTCCCTCAACAGGACTTCTCGGAGATGCAGTGCAGGTGCTCTGCTCTGGCCAGCCCCAAATCCAGCATCCACACAGCAGGGACAGACCCAGCCTCTGAGCTGTTCATCATTATTTGAAGATAATAGGTAAGCAAGATGATAACCGTCAAAATATTTTAGGCAGGAATTGCTTTCAAAAGGAAGGTATTGACCTTTGAAAGGTCACCCTAAGCAGTGCTCTCGTTGAAGCGGGTCTGCAGAAAGGCAGTCAATCCAAAAAAATACACTTATTTTGCAAATAAAGTTTGGTTATTACCCAGCATTTCCCACTATGGCAACACAAAAGAACAAGCTCTTCAGTGCCAAAGTAGCATAAGCAATAGTTATACTTTTATTCCGTAGTCTTTATCATAGGCAATTAGGTAGAACAAAATGTGACAGTTTCAGAGCCAAAAGCTGAACTTGATACAGCAGACAGGAAGGTACAGAAATAATAGAAGAATAAATATGGGAAACAGCACTTTCCTCTGGCCACCTTTTTCAATCACTTTCCCACTGCAAAATGCGACATCAAATTTTTAAAAATAAAGTTCATCCATAGGTTCTCCAAATGGACTATTGAGCAAGGTTTGGCAGGAAGGCTATTAAATATCCACACGGTGACATGAATATAAAAGGATGCAAATATTGCCTTGGTTGCACCGGCGCCCTACCATGCTGCCCTCAGGCCAGCTGCTCTCTAGTAGCCTTTCCTAATACCAAGAGGTTTCAGAAAAAGTACTCTGGCTCTTACCGGAGGATTATTTTTATTTTTATTTTTATTTTTTCTTAAACCTGCAGTAGGGTTTTTATACCAGAAACTGAACACATCTTGGTTAGTCCTTGGCTCTGTTCATCCATGCCCACCAGTCAGGCTTTGCTGCCAGTGCTCGTGGTGACAGCGGTCTTTAATGGTGAGGCTTGCTGCATGGTGCTTTCATATTATAAAAAATAAATTTTTGATCAGGTAGATTAGTTGCCTGCCACCTCAAGCCACCTTCCCGAGGAAAGCTCCAGCCCTTTTTTCCCAGTTGAGATGACTGTGGCTTCTCGTCTTTCTTACCTTCTGAACAGCTGGCGTTGCGTCTCCCTGCGTTCAGTACTCGGTTCAATTCCTCGCTGTCCCCTGTATATAAAGTGCCATCAGCTGAAAATTAAGGCAACAGCTCGCTGGGTAACACAGTAACCTTGAGATTTAGTCCTCCTGTGTGCATCCAACCCCTACGTCCCTTGTGGGCTGAGGAGATGCTGAGGCTGTATTTTAACTGGGAACAGCGCTTAACATTTACCAGATAATCTCATCAGTTTTGAAGCTTTGCACAGATAAACCCAGTCAGGGTTTCAAGTCTATTTGGATCAGTTAGAAGTGAAAAATGATCATTAATGCCCAGTTTGTAAGAGGGTAAAGCTGGGTACTAGGGGACCAGTTGTGAAGATTTTAGCTCTCCTGTCACCTGCTGAGGGCACGAGTTGGGACGCTGGCTCCATGCCAGGGCTGAGAAAGCCAGTGTAGAAAGTTAAATGTCTGTATGAAATTTTCAACAGTAGGAAAACAGGTTGCTACCTGCTTTTTTGGCCCTTCCTTGCCTCGTGACCGAGGGGCAGGCTTACCTGTGGTCAACCACCGATCACCCACCTGAAGGCAGCTCGTACGGCCCGTGGCGAGGATGCCTCCACCTCGGTCGTGTGCCTCGAGGCTGGAGGGGCCGCGGTGGGGCTCTGTCCCCACACACCCAGAGGGGCTGGCCGATGGGAATGGGCTCACGCATCCCTGTTTCCTTGCAGAAGTCTAGCGGTGGTCCTCCTGACGTCGACCATGGAGCTGCCTTGCACCATCTTCCATGAAAGCGCCAGTAATGAGCTGCCTTTTCGCATAGCAAATGTATATATATGCAATAAGAAAATGCCTTTTTGAAACCAATGCTGTGATGCCCACCAGAAAGCAAATTGGCCTTCAAAGGGAGGGAGATCCCAGCTTGCTGGCAGAAGCACACCTGGGGCTGGGGAACAACCAAAACAGCCCTTTTGTCCAAAAGAAGAGCTGTAGAAAAAGCTGAAGAGTTTCCACAGAATTTCGTTCGTGTCTGCATCAGACAGAGCAGCTCTGGGATGCCTGCCTTCCCTTCGCTCCTCATCAGGACTGGTTTGCGGGTGATGCAGGATGGTGCAATCGTGAAAATTGGCTACTTCGCCGGCTTGCTTGTCTGTTAAACCAGAGGGAGTTCAAAGAAGTGATTTTGCAGAAAATTATTTTGGCAGCTTCGGCAGGAAAATTCTGATGTATGCTCACGTCCAGTATTGGCATGTTAATATAGACAAGGGAATATGAAATGGAAACGATAAACCGAAGTCGAGGAAAATAATATGCAAGCGCGGTTAACACTGCTAATTCTGAAGTGGGTTGAATCAGTAATATTCAAAACTATTGTTCATGTGCTTTACTGTTACTTTCAAAAACATAAAGTTGAACTCCAACAGTAAAGTGGTTTTGAGAGGTAAACCTACTGAAGTAATTCAAACCACAATTTCAAAATAACTCCTCCAGCTGCATTTCCTCTGGTCTTTTAAATGTACTAGAAGCTTTCCGATTTGTGGAAATGAGAGCACGCAGGCTTATCACAGAAGACAAATTGAAAACAGCTACACCATTTTAATTCTCATGCTGTATGAAAATAAAAGCATCAGTTGTCAATCCAGACTCACTGCTTTGCCCAATCTGCATTCTTTACCAGAATTCACCTTCTACTAGCATAACTTTGAGGCAGTGGCAAATTTTGAGGAACAGGATGAAAGGGTACGGTATTTGAAAACTAAGCACACTCAGAAATTCTGCTTTAATAGCAGCAATTGTTATATTTAGGATCTTAAATCAAAAGCACTGTTTAGCTGCCTCGTGCCTAGGATGACAACTGCGCTTTTAGAAGCTCTTCTTGAGCGTAACAGACAGCAATCAAATTTTCTTTTTTGTTTCAGTCAACATCCAGCCACGGAAGTACTTTCAATCAGAAGTTATGGGAATTAATAAAAAACAAAAATTGTCTTCCTTTTAGGTGACAAATATCTTTAGAACAACATTATTTAAAAACTGAACACCCTTCTTCAATAGGCATGGCCACCAAGGAGTCATGCGGGACCGAGCTGACTGCCCCATAGATCTCTGTGCCTTCCAGCACTGCTTAGGTCGTGCCAAAGAGAGTTTCTGGTCCCTTTACAGTCAATGGAAAGAGTCCCTTAGCACTCTGCAGGCAATTCCACATCTGACTACAATACGCAAGTTCTTACTTTGGGTACATTCTCAGTATTTTTCATGGAAACTGTAAAATGGAAACAGAAAAGTACAAAAAATAACCGGCTTAGGGATAGAGAGGGCTTCAGACACGACAAGCAGCAAAGCGATACGGTTATGCGTCGTTGTACCGTACGGATGTCGCGTCCGTGGAACAGCAGCGTGGTCAGCCACGAACGCTGACCCACACGCAGCGACACGTTAACGCAGGTCAGCCACGTGCAAAACGGTTTTACCCGTGCGAGTACCCGCAGGCTTCCCGGGGTTACTCGGGGCTTCAGTTGAGCCCACAAAGGTTCTCATGTGCTTAAGTACTTGTGGCACCAGGTACTAAGGCAGAGGAGATTGAATCCTGGGTGGTTTTTTTGTTTGTTCGTTTTCCAGCACCGAGGTGGAGTGTCCTTACCTCCTTCCTCCATGACTCCCTGGCACCCCCGATTTTCCCACAAGCATGGTGGTTGGAGTAATAACTGTTAAAATAACAGCTGCAAGTGTTTTCTGCAGTACTAGGGACGATCAAGCGGGTGAAACCCATTTTAACCCTGGAAATTCATGGTAGTGGATTTCCAGAGAAACTGGAGCTAACTACTCCATAAAGATTTATAAACATTATGCAATAAGGAGCGATGAATATGACTGTGTGTTAAACAGGCCAGAAATAGGAATACTTCTACTTGTTTCCGGGAACACCAGGTTTACTACTCAGAACTTACCTTGCACATTGTTGTACAATGCTCTAATTACAGAGAAAAAAACCACCTCAAATACATGTATTTTTAAAATACCATTCTAGTCTCTCCCCTTATTCATAGTGTTAGTGGAATGCAAAAACATATTAAGTAAGCCTCAGACCTTAATTGTCAGTGTTAAAAAATGTCCAGGTCAGTTCAGTTGCCAATTTGCCACATGTGTCGGTATGTAAATGAGGGCTAAGGTTTTCTTCCTTTCAGAAAAAAGGCAGTATGGGGTTTTTTTTCCAACTTTTTAAATTAATGTGATATCAGCTAAGAAGCATTTCCAATTTTACACCTTGTTTTCCGTTTAAACCTGTTTCTCCTGCTTCAACCCAGTGTGTAACATGAGATCAAGTCACAGCTTTGGAAGTCTTCATATATGCTTATTTAATCGACAAATGAGAGCCAGACTCTTCTTCGCCTTGGAAGAAGCAAAGCACCAGTTCCTTGCTCACAGGTGCGAAGTTTGCTAAAATCAAGCATCTCGCATTTTTGAAGTATCAGGCAATTGGATACAACTGTATCATCAAAGCAACTTTTTGGAGAACTTAGGTTGCCAATTTCAGCTTAATTGTCTTTAAAGTACCATAGGTATTTAGTAATATAAGACCATTTTTAATGTAACTTATCTTGCTCCCTTTACCATATGTTGTTCATTTCCACGAGATTGGCTAGGCAGATGAAAAATGACATTAAAAAAACCCAAGCCCATATAATAAGAAATAATCACATTTGATTTGAAGATGTAAACATGTTAAAAAAAAAAAAAGGCAGCAGAGATCAAAGCAGACCTCTGACACTAAAAAATGTACACGCTAGTGTGGAGTGAGCAAGATGCTTTTGGAAAATTATCCTAAAATTTATAAAATTTATGTTTGAATAGTCAAATATATGTTTGCATCTGCTCTGATCTGAGAAAAAGAAAAAGCCACCATCTTTTTCAGCTGTGTTAGTCATTACCTGGACTCCAACCATCCTCTTCTTTCAAGTTGACAAAGCAGTTTGCTTTAATAATAAAAAAAACTATAATCAATAGGCTTATATTTTTATGTCTATCATCTTAAAATAGATATAAAAAAGCGTAGAATTTAAAATTGCTATACACCTGATACAGAACCACAGCAATGCCATTAATGGTCCAATTTCCAAGCATAATTCAATACATGCCAACAAGTTGGTTTTGTGCTACACAGAAAAACAGGTTAAAACCCCATGGTTCACTGACATGTGTTTTGCTGTCTTTTCTTGCTTTGGTAATTTCAGGTGTTTTGAAATGGTTTGCATCACCAGAGGCAACTCAGTGAGAAGTGGCAGTCACATCAAGAAAAAGGAAACTATCCAAACGGCTCAGGTTTTTCTTCCTCTGCGCTAGAGAACAGTTACAGTTTTCAGAACCAGTGTTATTCATGTTTGTTTGCGTCTGGAAGTTCAAGTAGTAGTGATCATCAAATGAAACGTATTTCTGTTTTAAGTAGGAAAACACCAACCTGGAACTAAGCTATGATCAGTTCTAAACCAAGCTTCTTCCAAGCGTTCCTTCTGTGATGAATTCTTGAAGCGTCTTTCTATCATTTGAAGTGTTACCCACCCACCTTTCTAAAAATGATTTGCTACTTGCTACTATAGAGAGGGGATCTGAAACCAAGGTTAACCAAACTTTTCGGCTGTGGAAACTTTACTGTGGAAAAGAATATAAAACTCTCTCATAAATTTACTTGTCAGCAGCAAAAAGACTCTTCAAGTGTCTTAACCACTGTACAGCTCGATAGTTTTAATACTTCAACTTTTTTTTTTTTCCATTTTTCATTGTTGAAGAAATAATTTCACAATCTCAAATCAAAGTCAACACTGCAGTGAGGAGAGCTTTTCTACTTTATTACAAAGAGAAGAAGCCTTTATGTGGTCAGAAAATACAAGATTGATCTTTTTTTTTTTTTCTCTTCCTATGAAACGCTGCTGTTCAAACAGCCAGAGTGAATTGTCTCAGTTCACTTCTTTAAGTCCCATCACATTCACTTGGGTATGGATGTCCTTGGCTGCTGAAAATCTGGCCCTTTAGTGCACAGGGCGACAAAGTAGTCCCCTGACCAGCAGTTCCAGAATGTCCCGTTTTCATATATTGCATCCATGCACACCTCCTAAAAATGAGGTACAGCAGGGCAAACATTTTCCAAAATAGATGTCATATATATAATATATACACATTCGTACATACATACCTTTATTCATGTGATGTCCAAAAATTTAAAAAAAATGTACACATTTATTACAAAATCGTAACAAAGACTGGACAGTGTTTTGCTCATTCTGGAAAGATGAAGCTCAGTAATACACAACTCTGGAAACTAACCAGAGACTGTGGCAATATCTTTCTTCTAAACAGTCAGATATTCTTGCATTAAGCTTGGCGAAAACTGCCTTTCAAAAACAGAAGGGGAAGTAAAATGAAGGAAGCAAACCTTGCTCATCTTTCCAAATGAAATACGAGAAGGATCTTCACATAAAAATGCACAAACATTTTTTATTACCAATAGTGCTACAATGAACAATGCAAATTTTGTTGTCTAATTTTTTGTCTTTTTTCTTTTTTTTTGTTTTTACATTTTGGAAAACTAAGTGGTAAACTTTTGTCAGTGTACTCGCTTGTCTTTACAGACCCAAGCTTGTCTGCTGGCAAAAAATAAAACAAAACAAAAATTCAGACCCTGCTCAAACTAAAGAAAAACAATTACAAATTTAGTTGTTGGGCAGCACATAATTAGTAAGGCAGGACCTCAAATGGTGACCCTTCGCATGAGCCAATTGCCAGATCCTCAAGGAATTAAAACCAGGATGCCTGAGCCACATCAGTTCTGCAGTTATGTTGAGTATTGTGCTGAGACAGCCATACCCCAAGAAAAGGGAAGTCTTTAGAAGGCTTGCTGAGCAGGGTTGTAGTTGAAGGTTGATGGCAGATGAGGCCTTTCTTCTAATTTGTCATATTCCAGATGGAACTCCTACAATTAAAATAATAAAAAAAAAAAAAAAAGACAAAACCAAATAAAACAACATATCATTTACCCGTTGAAAACCATTCGTTCTACCAGCCATACCTGAAAAGCACAAATATGGAAGGAATCAAGTCCTAACTTATCTCAAGGCAGAAACACATGATTTCGCTCTCTGGGATTCTATATTTTAATTAGGAAAAAGTCAATATCCCAAGCCATTACACCCGCAACATGTAGGCTCTCCTATTCTTCTTAATGTTACATTACTCTCAGAACCCTGGTGACGATCTCAATTTTATGTATATATATACACACACACACATAAAACACAAATATACAATCATGGCATGAACTGCATTATGAATAAAAGCTTCTGTCTTTCCACAGTTCAGATGTACAAAGGCTTATTTTGGATGACCTGAAGTTCTGGGATATTTTGCGCCATACTACCAGACGCAACTGTAAGTTAAACTAGCCAGGTTTCTCCTTCTTAGTACAAAACCGGGAAACATTATCTAAAATGCTAGAGACAAACCACTGAAACATACTTAAGCCAGAATTTAACAAAATATTCCACCATATTTCATACTCAGATTTAAGCTTCACTCACCCAACCCTCCTGTACATCCTGAGCTCCTTGTTCCTATATCACGCTTTGCCAACATCTTTCATGACAAATTCTCCCGGTGTTTTATGAACAACCACACGAAATAAAAATCTTTGCCCGTGTACTCGGATGCCACTCAAGCTACTGGTTCATAAATAAGCAGCTCAATCACCAGCACAAATCACCTGACTTTTGTTTGAGGGTGTCTGGTTTGCACAATTGTAAAGCATTTCCAGTAGGAATTCTTATTCTGACTACAGCAGCTACTACAAATCAGACTGTAACCACTCCTGATGTCTTAATGCATCCTGATTATTACAGTGAAAAAAGCAGCTTCCTTCCCCGTCACCTTAATTCGTGCACATAACCCTAATTAGTGCACTTCGACATTTAGTGCTTGCTACTTCGTTCATGCAAAAATGTATAAGGACTCACTTAAATCTTATATTTTCCAGATCTTCTCAGCAGTTTAACTGCGTCTCATTCCCATTTTATCTTCATTCAAGAAATAGAGTAAGCAGAAGTTCCAGAATTGTTCTTTAAGGGTACTTCTTGGTAGTTCAACAACAGCTACCTTGGACACGCACAGTAATTTATTTTGCCTAACTCGGTGGAGAGCCTCAGCAGAACATCATCTGTATCTGCAGAGCAAACTTACTCTGCTATTTTTACATACAGATGAAAACACTAATAGTAGTGAATAGCTTATTTTAGAACACTCCCTGAAGTGATTAAATAGTGTAATATTTCAGTTTTTACAGGTAGACAAACTAAATTAAAGACCAGAAATAAAATCTAGGAAATCCAACTCTCAGTATTCTCTAAGGCAAAACGAGGTCCATCTAGCATAGAAAGAACATTCAGCATGGTAAGGAAACAAAGTGGGGGAAAATGTTCAGCATTCAAGAAGCCTGTCTTCCCCAGAGAATACTGTCCCTAAAGCTGGAAAATCCTAGCAAAACCTATGTGAGGTTACAGTCATCCACACTGAAGTGCTGTACATCTGCTTCATTTCTGGTTCCCCGCTCTCTACTCCAACCAAGGGTTTTTTTAGTTGGTTGGTTTGTTGTTTGGTGTGTTTTTTGTTTTGTTTGTTTGTTTGTTTTTAATTTTTATTTTGGGGGTGGGTTTGTTTGGGCTTTTTTAGGCTATACATATAAGTCAATTGCTTTTGGCATTCCTAATTAACACTGCATGCCAGTTGGTGTATGTTCTCTTTTTGCGCAGATACATACACATGTGCTGATACTGAAGAGACGCCTGCTCCCTCTCTTTGTCAGAAGCAAGATCAAGGTGTACAAGTCTATGTGGGTATTTTGGTGTCAAAAGCTGGTTTAGGTTGGGTGGACCTTCAGCAATTCTGAAGTCATTTTATAATAGAAAAAAAAAACCAAAACCAGTCAAACTTCTCTCCCACATTCATGGCTTTCAAAGTTTCCAATTTGCATATAATCATGGAAGCGTCTGCAGATTACTATCAATCTATGGTCACCTGTTGCGGAATTGCTTCTTTAACAAAATTTTAAACAAAGAGAAGGGTTAATAACAAAAGCTTCAATCAGCTGCCTGAACCTCCACACGCTCTGAAATGCCTTCAAAATTATCCATGGAAAATGGCTACGTAAACTGCTAAGACAGTAGCAGTAGTCTAAAAAGGGTTTTCCAGACTTAAGGTGGTTGCGTCCCTCTATTGGCAGTAGTAGCTGCGAGCAAGGTGTGTGTCTGAAAGAAACACTCAGGAGCCTGAGCAGTCCTTTGTGTGCCACAAATTGGAAGCTCCTCATTTAGAAGAAGGAACATGATTCCCTACCAAAGTTTCTTTAGAAGTACATGAATTGATGCTTCAAATTGTCATGGATTTTTAAAATAAACAGGCTTAAAACAGCCTTTTCGATTTGCATCCCCGTGTTGGCAATGCTCAAGTCCAATGTCCATTAGTGTACAAGAACACCTAAAGTTATATCTGACAATACCAAAAAAAGAACTCATTGACCAAATATTTTTGAAAACTAAAAGGCAATTATTTATTACATATAGAAAAATACTTGTATTACAGGTATACTTTATGCTTTTGCTTTTGATTCCAGGGGCCACTGTGGTTTAGGATGTGAACAGTAGCACTGATATTTTTTAATATAAACAGATACAAATAAAATGTAAAAATGCCATTTATCCATTGACAAACATCTGTTAAATTGTTTTATTTTCCACATGGAAGTAATTATTAAAAATTAAATACCTTTTATTAACCAAGAATAATGAATACTAAATGTGTGTGGAAACACATAGCACATGTACGACACTAAATAAATTGTTCTACGCAAAGGAATCAATCACTTCTTGTGTCATCCTGAAAACTTGTTTTGATGGTAAAGTTACATCAGCCTGCACATGTACAAACAATAGTAGGTAAGAATACTAAAGCTAGAAGAGAATTGCTTAAGGTGATCCATAGCATTAATAGACAAAACAAAACATTAGCTGAATAGGAAGTGTCCTGAGGACAAAATATTCTGGATTGTAGAAGTCCACCAAAGGAGATGGTAGAAAACCCATGGCTAGCTCAAAAATTCCAAACGGGACCGAGAAAGCAACATTTATACTGGCTTAAAGATGGATACAAAGATGCAAATTTAATTCAGGGGCTAAAGTAAAATGCTATGGCACATCTCTATTCAAAGTACATATTTAACTTTCTAGCAATCATAAAAGTATTTCAATTAATATTGACCTTAAAAGGATAGGGAGTAATTTAATAGAGGCAGCAATCCTCACAAGCAAATAAACATTTGGAAATTTAACCTTCTCTCCCATACAGAATTCCACTAAAGAATCAAAGTAAAAGGGTTTTATAATCTTGTTCCTTAAACGGGATTAATTCTCCTTACTTTTCAAAGGAGAAATTCCAGACAGTTTGCTTTAAATCAGGATTTCAGTAAAAGTGCAATTGTAGAAGGCACTTTTGGTCCCATAGCCACTTCCCTTCCTCTCTCATTTGTCTCTCTCTCATGTCTCCTCAACAGTAGCAAACTATATAGCCAAATCCTCAGTGAAAAATCAAAGTGTCTTTAACCATACTGTACTTTCCACATGCCCCAGGATGAAAATCCGTATATACAGACATATCTGTAATCAGCATTTTCCTGCATTTTGTTTTGCATTTAAGGTGAATTTGAAGTTTACTGTCATTCATGGTTTTTTTTACTATCTACTACCACGTATCAACATAGAATTTATTTGATTTTTATTTCCTAACAGTTTAGAAATTGTCTCATTACTCAGCTGTTTTGCTGCATTTCCTTCTTTGGTCTTTTATCTATTAGGAATATAAAAATACAGCCTACCGCTTAAGAACATATTATTTGATGTTTTCTTGAAAGAAGTTATTCTGTCTACTTTACTGAGCTTTGTTAAAACCAATCTAGGACGCTATCAAAAAAATCTGTTAAACCACGTCTGGTTTATGTTTTTTACAACCTTAGTCTTAAGATTTAGTAATATTATCCAAAGTAAACAGTTATATTTCACTGTATCTATGGTAATGCAGTATAATTTAAAATAGGTACAATAAATACATAAGCTCATAATGCATAATGCACCATGTCTGCAAAGCACAACACATTAAAATATGTGCTACCCTATATTTGAGTATATGCACTAGAACAACAGAAATTTATAAAGCACCTTGAAAAACAATTGAATTTGCACATATAAGAGACAGTAATTTACCAGAAGTAATTCTTATCTGACTGCTTCAAAAAAGGACTAATGAAACTGTTAAGCAGCAAGTACTATTGTGGCCTTCTAAGGAACTGATATTCCCAGCATTCACGAATAATGTAGCAGTTAGTAAGAGACTGCAATTTCTCAGAATTCTTTCTTTTTTCCCCCCAGCTTCTTATATTTTTAATTTCCTGAAACATTAATTATACTTCTGTATCTGTTAGAAAAAATTACTTGGGCATGCTTCTCTGTGCGTTCAAAGCAACATGGAGTTATCAAATACTGCCATTCTTGTTATGGTAAGTCTACGTTAGTCTTCCTCCAAGGAAATGTCAATTCCAGAAATTAATATCAGTAGCAACAACATTACCATACAATGCCAAGATCACACCTGACATACATCTAAGTTTTTACTTATTTATCATACTAGCAAGTGATTCCTTTTCCATGTAACACAATAGCAATTTTTCCCCAAATCCTTCTCTAGCTTCCTGTGCTCAATACTCAACTTGCCTGCTGTATTTTGCACCAAACTAAAATGAAATAAAAATTTCAAAATAATGTTCCAATTCCAATTTTTACATTAAGAAATACACAAGCCTAAAAGAAAAGATAGTATCTCTTTCTATGGACACTGCGGGGGGGGGGGGGAACCATGCTCCTTGTTAGCTTACTGCTGCAGGTGCAAAAACTTTAGAAAATACTATCCCTCTCTTTACTACCTACCAATTGCTTCTTAATGCTGGGGGAATTATTTTCAGTGTGTGAAGTAAAGAGAAGAGAATCTGTGTAGATCTCAGGCAAAATAATTTGGAGAACAGTAGCAATTCATCTCTCTCTCTCACCACAGCATTTCCAGGAACGCCTACCAGGTGAAGCCAGCTCTACTCTTTAAAAGAGAACGGATGTAGTGGGCTAATTAACAACTCAAGCACTGGATGCTGAATTTCAGCACAGCACTCAGGACTCCAAAGAGAGAAAATACTGTCTTCAAAAGTAATGCTTAAGCATGAAGTAGCAGCTTCGCACATCTACTACAGGTTGAAAAAGAAGAGACACTAAAGAGGTTAGTAATTTTATACAATGGGCATGACTACCTCCTAGTAAAAGAAACGTTGTTGTGTTTCCACATAGGGTAAAAACTCAAGCTGATCCATCAATATATGAACCTATATGAGGCTCTTATTGCTCGTAAGTAAATGGAACATATTCAGCTGACTCCAAAGAAGAAATCTATCCTTTCAAAAGGTAGTTACTTCCCCTCTGATGACCTTACATCATAAATAGCTTCAAACAGCGTCTTGGGAAACCTAAGAAAGCACACCAAGCAGCAAATAAATAATTCAAGTAGAAATTAAAACTTTCCTTTTTTTGGGTTTTCTTTTGAGTAGAGTGATGCTTTTGCTTAAAAGTTATGCTACATATGAAAAACCATACAAGTAGGACTTGCCATTAAAACCTTCAGCTGCAAAATCTTGGTTTTCTTATGGTCACAGGAAAGGCAGCAGAGACAACACATCACACATGCAAATGGACTGAAGAGCCTCCCATATCATTTGGGGCAACTAAAACGTTAATTTCTGAGGGGAGCTTGCCCAGACTAAGCAAATTTACTGGGGGTTGGAGGGAAGAAAGGAAAAAGAGCATCATATCTAGTTAATCTCCAGATGATGGCAAACTTCAATATACTGGCTAGGAAGAAATGTAATGTACTTAACAGAGGGGAGAACACTGAACTCTATTCTCTTTCCTTTAAAGCTGATGTTTAAAAACACATCAACAGACATGTAACTATTTAATGCAATATTTCATAATCTCCAAGTGTATAGATGCAACTGCTCACAGAAATGAAATGCCTTTTCAGCAAACAATTCGTAAGTTAGGCTCCAGGTGAAAAGATTTCTGATTAAATGAAATGCCTAAGCATGTGGAACCACAAAACATAGTTCCAACATGCTGGAATCACATCTGTTGAATTCAAGGCTTCAAGATTAATCTGGTCTGTTAAGAGTTTTTTAGAGAAAAGCAAGAGTGTGATACCGTATCTACAGAAGTTCTGACATGGAAGTTTTATGTTTGCTCTTTCATCAATGAATCCAACATGTCGCTTAAAACTTGAAGAAAAATCATGCCACATCCATAAAAATCTCATATAACCAAACTTAAGTGGGGAATGAGATTCTTGACAATCTATTTAACTCCGACTGTATGTAGGTGTAATGGTTGTATGTATATTGTGAATTTATTTTTTTCAGCTCCAGCTGAAGCTGAATGCATCACCTTGTAGGGCAGGCTATTTTCAAAAGAGCACACCTCTTGCCAGGTTAGTGAATGTTAGCACTCCTGATTTCTCAAATAGCATTTTGGCACATTATCTGCATTAGAAAAATCTTTGCTTTAGTTGAGAAGAGAAATCACAGAAATCGGGATCCAGCAAGGAAGAGGCATGGTACAAGATGATCTTAAAAGCTGGAGTTGGAAGCTACTGAAAATTAATTATCTTTGGGGGAAGGTGGAGAAAATGAAGCACAATTCTATGAATTTCTTCAGCTAACAAGTAAATGGTGAACATTACTGACAGTATTCACGGACAGAAAGGAACAAAAAGATCATCAGAAGTGGGAAGGGAGAAGACCGTAGCTTTCAGATTCTTTTTTAATGCCTCTGGCCTAGAATACAGAAAACAAGCACCATGAAAATATGCCTCCACCCTAAAAGAAGTGATTTATTTCTAAGTACTCTGATGTTCAAACAACAGAGCACAAAAGTCCTGCAGTATGCTCAAGAAGGGACAGTATCCGGGAAAAAACAAACAAACAAAAACCACAAAAAAAACCCCCAAACCAAAACAAAAAAGCCAACCCCCCCCAAAACACGCCCCCCCATACCTATTTTTAATTCCAAAGTGAGACATGGTAGCTCCCTATTGAATTTTCAAAAGCAAAATAATAAAATATTTGCAAGCACAGTTTCTGAAGTGCCAAATAATGCTTTTCATTCTATAATTCTGTACTTGAAAAAAGCTTTCTATCTAAACAAAACTCTTGAGTTCTACATCCTTATACCTCCCAAAGAACACAGCAAATAGACATCTCCTCCTTTTCCACAAAAAAGCCAGTGTTTTAGGCAATCTCTATTCCCTCACACATCAGAAACTAAGATAATGAACTTAAACAACCGAAGGTTAAAAAGTTTGAGATTTTTGGGGAGGAGGTTGGGTTTTACTTTTGTGCTTTTAAAAATACACGGTTGACAGACTTAAAAAATCTGCACAAGGGAAAAGAGATACCTTAGCTACTTTCCTCCAGTTAAGACAGTCAAAGAAGTAATATGTTCCCCTCTCGTACGTATTGGTTTTCATTGTTGGCTCCATGCCGGGTGCCCTGGTGATCCATACTCGTTCTTCTTTGTGGTATCTCCAATCCCGGTTAAATCTTTCATTTTTAATAGGAAGGAAAGATAATTTTTATTGTTAGTTATCTGAATTTGACTCATAAAATAGAAATTTAAGGGTTTTGATCAAAACTATACAATGCATTCAAAACCAAAACAAAATTTCTAAAGACATCATTACACCTGCGATCTCATACCTCTTCCATACAATTATTACACCTCAAACTAATCACATGAAACTTTAAGAAGTCTGGTAGGTTCAAACAACAAATTATTTTTGTGATTATTTACTGTTTTTCATTTTGCTGAAGGTAAGTTAGATGTTTAATGATGACTGGCACGTGCCACTTTTTCACAGTGCTTCATAATAACGCAAAATTTATGAGACAGACTCTTGATTTCCGCTATATGAATGAAAAAAAAGCACAAAATGGAACCAAGGTTGGAGGAGGTATTTAAAAAAAAGGTTTCCAGCTTTAGATTGACTAAGCTTCTGTTTTCAGTGTCTAACTTGTTGGGGTTTTTTTTTACATCTACTACTTCATTACTGCAATAGATTAAATCATATAAGACTGACAAAATAGTTTGAACGTACAGCTCTACTGCTGCTAATAGCTGTAATACATCTCCTCCATTCATGTAATAGAGATAAAACAGGAGATCTTCTCCATATCGGCCAAGTTTTATTGCAGCCAGCTGCAAAAGATTGAAGAAAATGAGGATGAAAAATCACAATAGATAAATGTTTTAAGACATACTATCCCACTTAAATAACACAAGGACACATCCAGAACGTGCTTCCATCCTAAATGTGTTGCAAATGATACTCTAATATAACAAGAGTAATAATTATTAGAACAATCATTTTTCTTCACTTCTAGTTAACCTTTCCAACTTAAAAGATACAACAGAAAAATAAACAGAAGTAATGAATCAGCAAGACAGAATTTTCTCCCTGCACCTGTGTGTATCCTCATCTACTTACTTTTTTTTTAATTTAAAAAAAACCCCAAAACATCTACATGTATTTCCTCACTTCACACTCTATTAAGTAACATTACTACAACTTCTTACAACATTTCTCAGTGATCCCTCTTACGGAACTACAATAGTTGAAAGAAAATACATCTAAGAAAAAAATCCCTATTCATGTACATATGGAAAGCAACAGACAAATGTGAGAATATCTTAAACTGCAATTCTGAGCTTATCTCAAGAAGAAATATCTCAATTTAATATGGCATTTGAATATTACAGTATGTGGATTATAACAAAATTCTGCTTTGCATGAAGGGCATAGTCTTAAAAACATAACATGTTCTTCAGCTAACCATGCCTATTCTCAGTTTTGTCTCCTCTTTCTTTTTTAAGGTGAATGGGTGCATGATGTGTCCAATTAGCCAGTTAATGCATCACTGTTCCTAAAAAGATTGAGGACATCCATAAAATGCATTGATTTTGAACATTACCTATCTGAAAGAAAATTTAGAAAATTACTGATAATAAACTACCAAAAAATAAGCACACACACACGTACTCACCTTATCCCTAATGTGAATGTTAGTTAAGTATTCAGATGGAACATGGAAGTCTAAAAAAGAATCGGAATTGATGCAACTATTAAGACATGTAAATGAATATAATTTGCAAATATTAATATTGAATTAAATAGTTACTTCTCTCTTACCTATGTCTTGAGGTCGACAAGGTGATGATGCCCAGGGTGATGCAAATTTGGGATAAAGATTTCTGAAGAAAAAGAAAAGCACAAATTCATCAAAATTAAAAACAAAATTAAAAACAAATGAACAAATAATCCCCACAACCAAGCTCGCAAACCTAAAAACATACCATGCAACCAAAATCACTACCTGGGGTGAGAAGGAAGGAGAAAAGGAAATTTCCAGACCACTTTCCTAAAATAGTTACATTTATTCATTTTCTTTTTAATATGTGGAGTAAGAAAGCATTTAAACTGCCATAGGAATCTACAGGGCCAAGAAGGTGAGGAAAAGCTTATACTGGCAGATGTTATTTTTTTTAAACTAACCAGTAAAGATTTTACTCTTCTTCTAAATTTCAGTGATGACAAATAAATTGAATCCCAGCACAACATAAGTTTATTATGATTTAATATTTTTCCTTTATACAGATTTTGCTAACATATATTTAAAAAAAAAAGGAGCCATTAGTTTAGTAAAGAGAAAATGATGAACCTTCCAACTCTACTATGACGACTGAGGTACTGAAGAATGAGTTTTCTAATTAACAGTTAAAGAAGAGAAAAAAAAGGACCGAGCAAAATGTACTTTTGGCAGGTAGCTACTGCCTGCTTTTAAATATCCATGATAGCATACTCTTATGGCAAGTTTTGTAAATGAAACTTGAGTATGGTACATCCTATCAAATCCTTGCTTCCTTCCTGTCAAGAGCCTAATAATTACTATTTAAAAAAAAAAAAAAAAAAAATCGGAAACCTACTAAATTACCTGAACACAACCAACTCCCAGCTGAGCTATACGGGCCAAAAACTACACTGATCAAGTGGTGTCAATCTTACTGTAGGCTAGTTAATCTTACTGTTAGCAAACAATTATGCTTCAGAGCTTGCAGGAAGATTTCAGTGGCAAAATCTGCAGATGTTGAAAATAACTAAACCATTCCTTCTACTGAAAGCATGGATAGGCATTTCCCCAGAAGAGGAGCGTCCTGCAACTCCATCACCTCATGCATGCCCTAGAGGTTTGGTTTCCTAGGGCAAGGAATCCAGGATTTTACAGACTCAGGACTGCACTTCTGAATGTAATAAAAACTGAAGCGTTTGTGCGTAGTGCTCCCTCTATGACAAAAATAAAACTCTACTAATTTAACATTTTTCAGGAAGGTATTGCACAGCCTACACTCTATTCGATGAATATTTTGGAAAGCTTCAGAACATGAACAAACAACTACGCAATTGCTAAAGAATTAAATGTAGTAATGCTGTATTTTAAAATTTTTGTTTATAGAGAATTTTAAGTTATCCTAAGGAATTAGAAGCACATTTCTTAACAAAGAAATACAGGACTGTACAGGCAATATATAATCACTCTTTCAACAACCAAAATAAATCTTAACCTACCTGCACGGAAAATCTATATAAAACTAGGAGTTAGAAGGGTTAATTCAAACCGTTAAGAGATACATAGAGAATTGTAAAATTTTGTTTCTAACAGTACTTATTGTATTAAGTGTTTAAGTCAGACAGGTATCTTTACCATGAGAAGTACCTCACAAGACAGAAAGTTTTGGCTTTCCACATGTGAAATGCTTTTATGTTTTTCAAACGACAATTCATAAAGGAAGCAAGGGATGTTTAACATAAGGCAAGATGGCAGGCCAGACACTGAGGACTGCACAGGATGTTTGCAAATCTTTTCTGCAATATAAAATAAAACTAGTTTTCTGATACAGAACTGTCTGGATAAAATATTAACCCTATCCCATCCAAGACCCTTAATACCCTATACACAGAAATTAAATGTTAAAAGTTTTTAGAAACACAGCTATTTATAGCATACCTGCTAAGGAAAAGCAGCAGCATGCCAGATATATATACTGCATATGTACAAAAACACACTAATAATTTGGATGCTGTATTCAGGAGCCGCATAACACAGCTACAAGTCATCACATCATCAAAGCATGTTTAGTATTCCTTTGCAATGAGGTACTAGTTTTATGTAGACTTTCCAATAGGTATGTTAAGCTTAAGCTGTATGTTAGTCATTAAAACTAATGAATAACATTGAATAAAATAGCATCACCAAAAGTAGTATCACTACTACTATTCTGCATGCCAACATCTAGAGAAAGTAGCTATATAACCAAATGACATAACTAGATTCCACCTGTGTCTAGGAACAGCTCAAGAATTCAGATACCGATGTACTTGAAATTATTTTAATGAGCAAAGGCATACTTTCAGCTGATCATCCTCAAATTATGTTTGAGCAATCTGTACTGAGAACAGCAAATTACTTCAGAATCATGCAGATCCAGGAGACCCATCTCCCAGTCAGTGCTGTAAGCTCTCGGACTACCAAGGAAAAACAGCAACCCGTGGTCAGTATAACTGTTCTTTGTGCATTCTCCTTATGTTGTGAGAGAAGGGGATGGGAGTGGGAAACTACTGGATTCAATGGAAGAGTGACCCACGAGACTAACACTACAAGTGAAGAAGATACTATATTAACGCAACACATTCTGCAAATAACTACAGAAAATTGTATTAGAAGTCTGACTTTGGATGATCATTTTGAAATATTTTTTTAAAGTGCCAATGGCATAAGAATTTGACTAAGTTTTGATGCAAGCTCCACAGAAAGAATTTCTAGAAGTGGTAATTTCTAAAAAGTTACATCTCTAGAAAGAAATACATAAATTCACGCTAATTATTTCAAGACAGAAAAAATCAGGAGCTATTTTTCCTATGCTTTCCCTCTCACCTTGATATCCACGTTCATCAATCTTCCCTGAACTTGTGCATGTAGAGTGCAGCTCCATATAAATTTGTGAAACATTGAAATTGTGTGTGTGTGTATGCTCTTTGGTTTTTGTTTCGTTAATATATTATGTGCAAACCTTAAAATGCATATACTACTCTCTCAATAAGGCTACCACTATGTAAATCTCTGCTGAAACAAAATGATGGGGAGATTCTCAGCTGAAAGTCAGAGTACCAGAAATTAAATTGCTCTCACAATTACAGTCACCTAGAAGATAAGCATTTTTGTCCAAACTAACCTAGGTTCCTTCTATAAGTAGTGGAGAAAGAGAGGCACCCTGGGCTGGTGATTCATCTCATCCATCTAAGCACTTATCTTACCATTACTGCAATTGCTAACTGCTTTTCTCCCCACTGCCTCTACAGGAACCCTAGATGACTAAACTTAGGTGAACTGAATGACTAGAAGTTAACTATAAAACTACATTTTCATTTAAATTAATCTTTGGTGCAAGGTAACACTGAAGATGCTCTGTTCATTATTGCACTAATATAAAACAAATTTACCCTCCAAATTGCTGAGAGTTAAGTGTAGATATCCTCAAGGAATATTATTATTTGAAAAATAACATATATGTGAAATCTATTAACAATACACTGTCAATTCCTTGAAGAAAATCCTAAACAAGTTAGGAGAATAAGCGAAGCCACTAGGTTTATTGAAAGCTTGCATAACAAGACCTCAGTATGCCTTGAAGGACGATTTTCTTGTTTATGAAAATTTTGTTTTACTGTCATTATATTTTCAAATTTTATTTGGCAAAATATCTTGTGGGTTTGATAGTCACGTGAGCTAAGTGAGCCTATTATTATGAATGACAGCACAATAAAACCAAAACTGAAGATAGTACTAAAAACCAGAAACTTACTCAGGAGAGTTGAGATTGAGACCTAGTGTTGTTAAATCACTTCCTAATGCAAGATGTACCATTCCTGGATCTGTCTCTGCTGCCCTGATGAATGTTAACAAGCCAATCATTCCAAACTGGTCCGTCACCATCCCTTGAGGAATGTTGGTAACCCGACCTGGGCAAGAAGAACAAATTAATTTTCTCCTTTCAAGAAGTGGAGGAATCAACCAGGTGATCTAAATGACTGTCAAAACTTTTAAAGAAGAAAAAGTGGAATGACACATACCATCAGGTAACACCTGGATCCCTTTTTTCTGCTGGTTGTTGTTTTGCGTAGTTGAACTTTTATCTCCAGGAAACTTGGGCCCATCTGTGCTGGATGATGTTTTGCCTGATGTACTCAAATTCTGTTAAAAATAATTTGCAGAGTTGGTATGATGGAAACAAACCAAAATGGAAAAACTTATGGACCGTATCTTTCAGTCAAGTGCTCTAAACCAGTATGTCAAGTCACTCTAATAAATTAGGTGCTAAAATGGAACCAAGCTAAAACTCTTGAGTTCTGTTGACAAACCTCGTGTAATATTTACCACTTCCTTAAGTATACCTGTCATACAATAAGAGCTATTAATAAGCCTGAAGCTTGCAATCTGAAAGGATAAGAAAATACTTTACACCTGAGTTTGAATACACAATGGATATCCCAAGTGCCAGTGACTAGAGGCTATTTTTGACTCATTGCATCATATATATTTCCCATACAGTCTTGCTCCCGCATGACACTCCATGATGTAGCAACAGATAATAACTCAAGCCAATTTCAGGTGCAAGCAACATACAGTTGGCACATTTGCAATTATCAGGAAAGATGTAAACACTATGTGTCTGGCAACAAAACTGTGATTGCGCTCCAGGAGCCCCTGTACTGACAAAAGACATCTTCCATAACTATTATTTCTTACTCTTTATTATTCTTTAAAACAAGTCTGCAGTAACACAATGTAATCACATTTACTCCCTCCGTTCTTACTGTATTCAACACTAGCTGCATCAGACCATTTTCCACATGATAAACCTGGCCACAACATTTGGGGGCTAGGCTTCCCCCCATCCCTTTTTTGAACAGTTGCATTTTTCAGTTTTCACGTGAGCTTGTAGTCACATCCACTACCTACTCATCAGTACTTATGCCACCCTGATGAACATATTTTTTGCAACTATAAGTAATAAACCAATCAGAAACTAGAACATTTTGTTAAATAATGTAGGAAACTGTTCTCTGCCATCCAAATTTTATTCACCTTTCATTTGTAAGAAAAAAGCAATTTTAATTACAAATCTTTCAGAGAAAACAATGAAAAAAACCCCATAATCTTATGATCTAAGAGATATATATATATATATTAATTACAAATCTACAAATCTTTACAATGAAAAAAACCCCATAATCTTATGATCTAAGAGATATATATATATATATATAGATATATATATATATATATATAACGGATGATAATTCCAACAATACTTAAGATACAGTGTATCCCACCAGTCTACAGCATACCCATGAATGCAATGGTCTCTATTAAAAGAACTTGTTCCCTGTGATTTCATTTCCCCATCAAGAATTTTACCTTGAAGTGTGGTATTGTACCACCTAACTTTTAAAGGGTTTGACAGCTCTGAAGAAAGATGTTATAATGTGTAAATTACTACTACTGATGAGAGGCACCAACAGCAAAAAATGAGCTGGAATTGGTAGAAAAAGAAATTATGAATTGCAAAACCTGAAAAATATATATCAATTCTCAAAAATAAATTTTGAGGTGTTCTTGCAAGTTCCTCCCTGGCCCCTCCCCAAAATACAAAAGGATACAAAGAAGTCATTTGAAATTAAGAACGCAAGGTCCCCACAGTAACTGCTGGGACCAAAAAACTTCCTGAGAAATTCCATTTACATAGTTATATTTGAAATGCTGCTTATGCAAAATTTCTTGTTAATTCAGAGGGGCAAATTTGAAAATCTTATATTACAAATATAGTCACTGCCCATTTTAAAATATAATCACCAAAAGAAGTACGAACACTCAAAATAAAAGAAGCTTTAAGGTTTACTTACAGATTTATTGTCATCATTACTCGATGTTGGGTCTTTGTAGCTGGAGCCTGGTAATGCTGGAAAATCTTCATTGTGTATTGAAAAGTCCTGGGACTGCTCACTTGCTGGTTTTGTTACCATTCCAACTATCATCAAAATGAAAGCAGGAATAACATTAAACGACTGCTAAGTAAAGAATTTTCTGCTGTTGATCTTGCTTACTGTCCATTTTCATTATGTGCAAGCTGTACAGCAGAAATGACTTTCAAAAAAACAGGTAAACCAAAACAAAGCATATTCATTTAAAACATCCACACATATTAGACTAAAGCCTCTTAATTAAGTGTGAGCTGAGAAACACTCCGGGTTAAATTCATAGACACATCCACTGCTTTAAGAATGAAGCCCAGTACTTCTACCAGGAACAGCACCTGTTTTGCACATCTGAATAATCAAATAATCTTTACAGGCATTACTAAAGCAGTATTTAAGGAAATCCACTGATGAAGAAAGGATGTACTGCTTCTAAGATTATAATGCATTTTTCCTCCATCCCCTAATTGCATGAAGAATTTCTTAGCATAATCTCTTTAGAAGCACATATTCTTAAAGGATGCCCAGCTAACTTGCAACAGAACATATCACCAATGAAATACTTGCCTGTGACATAAGAATGACTCCTACTTTCAGTATGAAAACTGAAAGCATTTAGCCTGCAACTCTCAGTGCTCTGACCCTAATTTAAAAAAAGTAGGCCAGTCACATTGGAACATGGATTCCGACTACTGAAAAGCAACATTCTTTTTTTTTTTAATGCCAGTTAAAAAAAAAAGACAAAAAAACCCCCAAAACCAAACAAAAAAACCCAAAAAAACACCAAAGAAAAGCCCCCAAACCACACACCCAAGGGCAGATATTCTTTGCTGAGAGACAGAGAAGCAATATAGTGATTTGGTTGCAAACAACACTGCACTAGAGGAAGAGAAGACAGAAGTAGTCTAGGGCCCATTTTTCAAAGACTCTTAACAGATGTATAGGATCTAAAATAGTTCAGTAGCTGACAATATATATGACTTTCTCTAGTATTCTGTGGTTAGAGATCAAAGTTCCTTTATTTTAAGAAAAAAACAACTGAGTTAATCTTGTTTCTGCTGTCCACCCTTTTCATCCAGAGTTAGGATTTCTTCCATTGGATGAATAAAATTGATAATGAATTAACTGTGTATTGCATATTCTCATTCTATCCAAAAAGTTGTTTGAAGTCTATTTTCCTAAATAAGCTAAGCATGAAGAAAGTATGTCTCTGCTAAGTTTCAAACCTTTTTTTTCTTGATCACAACCTAAAGTGCTCTCCACTTTTTGTTGCTGGAGACAGTGTCCAGTGCATCTCATATCCCTGTTTCTTCATTGTTTCTACCACCATACCCATCCCCATCCCCTGCATTAAGCATATGCTCAAGATAACTCTTCAGACAGAAATTTCTTTCCTGGTACATCACACAGTTGTGCGAACAGCTATGCTAGCATCAAAATGGGGAAATGGTGTAACCACAGGAGCAATTACACATTTTTTTATGCGGCAGCACTGCTGAATGTTGAACTCCAGCTCCATGCTGGAAGTACATCTTTGTGGATCTCTTTCCTACCTTCTATCAATTTTCCATGTAATGGCTTCTTTCAGAAACAAGACAAAATCTCACGTAAACCACAAAGCTAATTAGCTCTCCACTCTCAGTGCAACTTTTCAGTGGCTTCACCGGGGGAAGTGACTTTTCTCTGTGTTTAGAAGCACTTCAGTTTAACTTGTTTAGCTCTTTCTCACAGCTATCTTAAGCAGAGGGCCTTGGTTACGCCCAATCCATGAGGCTACTTTCTCCTGATAATGCGGTATCTATTATTTCTCTCCAATTAAAGTTGGAGATATCTCTGAAAAACACTAGCTTTTTATAGTTAGAAAACACTGGGTTATTTTTGGCTGGAAATTTGACAAGTGTCATAAAAATAACTTTAGGTTATAAAAGCAACTTTTCAGAGTAGCTGATGCAACATCCATGACAAAATCTACTAAAGCAGTAAGAAAAAAAAAAAAAGTATTGTGCCTCACGCTAAGCTTACCTGAATTTTTTCCAGACCCAAATAATAAGATTTCTATCCACCTTCAAGTTTTTCCTTTTATTATTTATTAAGCTGTTCAGCAAGAATTATATGAGAGAGAGACTTGGAATCTGACTGATAATACTTGATGCTTACAGGTTATTTTTTGAAATATGATGTTCATCATAAGAGTGACAGTGAACAGTACTACAGCAAGTACTACCAATAAACAGAAAATATACAGTACGTTTACAACTGCTGACCTTTTACACAGTACCATCTCTAGTAATCAAATATTATTTCTAAAATTTACTGCTCAGACCTCGACAGTTCTCGTATACATGCAATTAGAAAACAACCTATTGCCTGAGAAATATCTAGAGTGAGCAGCTTCAGAGTAATCATACTATACAGACTGAAAACCCCAACAACCTCTGTTGATGGTGAAACTAAAGCAGATGAGTTCTAATACTTACAAAAGCATGAGACAGATCTCCCATCACGGAGATATTGATTATTATTTATTTTAAAAAATGAGACTTAGGAGCTCAAGCGTCTGGCATTTTTGAAGACTACCTATTGTCTTATGAACAGCAGAAGGTGAATCAAGCAAATACCAATTTCATTCAAAGAGCTTTCAAAAGTATAGTCTTACCATAGGGTGCCCTTCCAGCTAAAGGGTTTATTAATGGAGTTGGATTGCCACTTCCTTCCCTTCTGTTTCTGTCTGCTAGTGCTGGAAAATCTGAGAGGTCCAGTCCTGTCACATTTTCACTTCCATCTACAATTAAAACAGATATTTGAAATTCCCTTACGTTTTTTACTCAAAGACTTCATTATGTGCAAGATAAATGTAGGATATATTTTCTTTCTTCAAGTTGATCTTTTTACTCTTACTATAATTATTACAAATAACTACAGCCTCTGTGTTATAAGACTAGCCTAAAGAGCATCAGGATGTTTGGGGTTTGTTTTTAAACAAGAGCTAGTCAACAGTATTTAGTAACAAGATCTATTCATTTTGAATTAAAGACTGCACACATAAAATACAGGCAGACTATCAAAATTACAAAAGTACTAGGATAGGTAGCCTGTTTAAAATTTAAGGAGCTATCGAGAAGAAATTTGAGAGAATAACCCATATTAGCAGCAGCATCAAGGAGCTCTTTGGTCCCTAGAAAAGGTAAGATAAAGCTGAAGAATGGCATTGGCTCTACAGCTGCAAGTTAGACGGGAACATTTTTTGATTTGCAGCAGAAAAGACTACATAGGCGAGGCCAGAGCTGCGGCTCTATAAAGATGTCACAAGGTCCTAGGGGATGCCCGAACCCTTCCACTCTGTGATGTCACCAGCACCTCAGGTTGCTTCATGTACACAGCCACCTACAGAAACGCCAGCACGGACAAACCTAAGGCATTTATGCACAAGCGTATTTTCCCCTCTCTAGTTCATTAAATTCAGGTGAAGAAGTAATTCCCGGAGAAAAATCACAACTGAAACAACCGAATGAAAGGATCACATTATAAAACAGCTGTTCAAAAGGAGTTTGAGATTTCAAAAAAATGCTTTCCCACTGTTTTTGCCCTATATAATGTTTTCGTAGAACATGGATAAATCTTTTCTTCTGAGATCCTCTTTTCAATTCCATAGCTATTTTGCATTTCTAACCGACTAGGTATAATCTGTAGTCATGTGATGTACAGTCAGTATTCTACAGAATATTTTCACTTTGTCTTCAAAAGTATTAAAATCCACTGTTATGAAGTAGTAAGAGTTTCACAGCACCGCTCTTGGAGCAGCATTTATATGGAACAACTGAAAATTATAACGAAGTTGCACTCCAACAGAACAAAGTATTTTCAATTAAGACTTATTTAGTCAAAAAAATCTCTCTACTGTACTTTAAGATCAGCGTCAATCAGAGTAAACTCACCTGTTCCATTAAAAATGTTACTTGATAAGGAGTTATTCATTCCAAATGCCTGATTTCTGTTCATCCCAAATCCAGACATACTGTGAAAAAAATCCAGGAAGTCAGACAAAAGGGTATACATACTACGTAATTTCCAGTGGAAGGCATTAAGGGGGGAAAAAAAACCCTAAGACACTTAAATTATTTCAAGCTTAAGCAACCCACATTAGCCTAAACTAAGTTTTTAATTATTTTCCTTTATACTTCTGAAAACTCTGAGCAGCAGCAGGCACTGTTCAATCAAGACAACTGGAATGACTTCAGAATAACTTAGGTTTTTAATAGCCACTGTGTCTTAAGACATCTGTCAACCAACAAGTTATGACAAACATGATCGTTACTCAGTAATTTCACATAAAAAAATGAAGCAGCAGTAAATGCAACAGTGAAAAGTCAGACTGCAATCCATTCATTTACAGGTGGGAAGATAGGTCATGGAAGTGATCAAGTTTCTCATGACTCAGTTATAAGCTGAACAGTTATGGCGTGCAATCACCACCATGTGCACATGGCATTATTATGAGCATAGGGATGGTCTCTGCCACACAAGGGCACCAGCAAAATTAAAATTTCATACAGTCAGGCAAAAATGTTTGAAGACATCTAAATATCATATAGGACTACTGTGGTCGGGAAGGCACCCTCACAAATGATCCACTTCATTCTCTGTGAGCTGGAGATGTTGAGAAGCCCAAAGATAGGCCCCAGCTGAGTGAAATTCTGAATTTCTGCCCTGTGGGAAATCACAACATTCATTTTTCCCCTGTAACAGGATGGAAGTTGATGTTTCAGAAGTTTCCATAAATAAAAATGTCAAATGTTTTCTTAGTGGAAATTTCACCTACACGGACTTTTTCCACAGTTACAAGTCTGAAGCATTTCGCTCCAATTTGAAACAGCCCTAAATGCTTCATTTTGGATTGAGACATCAAGAAAGGGAACAGTTAGCCAAGACTGGTCCTGTCCTGCTTTGCCTCCCCAAGGTGGTGTATTTGAAAGACATCGAGATCTTTGACACCTCACGTGTCTGAAGAAATACATTCCTAGTATCATCTGTGAACTTTAGACCTGGTGAGAGCACCAACAGGAGACAACTTGATCTTGAGGGCATATAATCTAGCCTGATGACAGACAGTATTTCTCACACAAGGGTTTTTTGTTTGCTTTTAAGGTAATTCTAAATAACCACGTTAAGAATTTCAGGGATAAGAAAGGGATTAGGCCACAAAATGCATACTCCTCTACAATTATTTGTAACCTGTTTTATCAGGGTAACTAAGAAAGGGGAAGTGAAGTATTTTTTATGTTCAAAACCTAAAAACTTTCACTCCTCCAACTAAGGCAACCATTCAGAAAACACTTCTAAGAAGTCACATAATTCATGCACCTGTCAAGGAAACACCATGTATTTTTTTTTCCAAGTATAATTTCAAAATTTCGTTAAATATATCAATTAACAATTGGATATATACTACTACTACACTTCTCTAGGCTAATAAACTGTGTAATAAGAACTTGTCATTGTTCCAGTGATATTTCCTTCCCAACTTGTAAAAATTGTAGCTTCTTGAAACTGAGATATACAATGCAAACAGTGAAAGATGAGGATTTTAATTCAAATGCTCCTACAGACAGGGATTTCATCATCTACCCTACAGCTGAATGATATTTAAACAAGTACTTTCTAGACATATATCAATCTTCAAAATCATTGTCCTCTGCATGTAGAGTTTTTAAGTATATTACTATTTCAACCTTTTGTGATGCTCAAGTTTCAAAAATACTTCCAAATATAAAATTCTCTTTTAAAATTATAATCTCCTTTACTTGCTGCTATACATCACAGGAAAGAAAAGGCAAATTCTATGTAACCAGAGGCAAGATACAAAGTCTTCTCACACTCCAAGAACAGAAACCGCTACTACCAAATCTCTATTTGCTGTGATCGAGAAAAGCATTTTTATGCCTGTATCAGTGTGAATCTACAGAACTAAATAGTCCGACCAAGTTTCAGATAACGGTGACATTAATTTTCACCTTCCTTTATCCGTTTTGTAAAATACTAGATTGGGTTAGAGGTGGCACCTGGCTGCCATGACCTTGTTTGTGCTCCGCGTAAGAGTCATTCCCCTAAGGAAGGGCCTGAAGGGAGAAAAAGGACGAAACTAGGAGCACAGAGATTGGGAGGTTGTGGAATGAAGCCTGGAAAGCAGTCAACTGTGCCAAGCTGTGACCACACACATTAAATAATTAGAATCAACACGCTTTTCACTACAAGTTTATCAGTATGAACTAAGCATAAACATAGCACCAAAACACAGTTAAAGCCTGATGATTTATGACGTTACAATCTTGACCAGTTAGAAAAAGAGCAGAAGTGACTGAGAAGCTTTTGGCACCCAAATGAGCACCACATCCTTAAATGAATGGCAAACCACTGTTCTCTATATTATTCCAGACTTTACAGAAGTAGAACACTAGGTCCCTACTGCATCTGAATCAGTTAACTATTCTTCCAGAATAACTATTGTGTTTTTAAATCTTGCCTTACTTCTTCCCAAACTCATAGATGAATAGTCTTAAAATGGAAGCATATACCCAAAAATCAATGCACGTTGTAAAAACAAACTCAGGAACACACAAGAAACATCACATATCTTAAAGAAGCAGCAGCAGAAATTCAGTAGTCAGAAACAGAATTTAGTTTACAGGCTTCAAAAAGCTTGTGTGAATATTACAAGCAGCTTCAAAGTTTACTGCCAGGAGACGAGAACACACGAAGCAGCGCTTTCAAGATTTATTCCAATGGATAAAAATTAGATTTCCAGAGCAGCATTTAAGCATGTCCATGGCTGTACAGGGATGGTCTGACTAAGCAGCCTTACCTGTTCACAGTAAAAGGTTGTCGAGAGGGTTGCTGCTTTGGCATACATATTATGCTTGGAGAGCTTCTGTTGGGGCTGCCTAACCCTGAACTGCTCATGCTGTTTGTCCTGCTGGGAATTCCAATGCCCTGACCAACCTGGGAGTGGTTCATCATATTCCTAGGATTCATAGGCAATATCCCCCTGAAAGAGAAAAACCATCCACAGAGATGAATCTGTACAATAATATTTGGTTACTCATTTAGATTACTAACGTAGGGTGGACTCTGAGCTGTTGCAACTTAATTTGTGCTTAGCATCAACACACCATGTTTGGATTACTCTATAATTAATGTAGTTTTGGATTTCTTCAGAAATACCAGATGACCCATTAGATACTGAACAAGTCCTTGGTCAGGTTTAAATAAATACTTTAATATTATGCATTTGAAAAGGTGTTACAGCTCTTTTTTTAATGAGCAGTTCAGACCTACTACCTTAATATTCTTATACAGTGTATGACATCCATATAAAGATTTTAACTGTACATTTACCGAAACAACCAAAAAACAGCCTCTTACATTCTGAAGCAGAATTTGCCAGCAATTTGTCCTTTACATACAAAAATCACATAGTGTCTTACAGTAAGTCCTATCTTACTGTTTCACAGTATTATTTCCCTAACATAGGCAGTGGTCAACAGAAACTACTTTTCCTGTTTTTTATTAATCAGACTGTAAAGTAGTTGAGGCAAAATATGCAGAACATTTAACAAGAGCTCTGCAGAAAGACACAATCGCAGAAATATCGGCTATCAATAAATACCTGCTCGGAGATGGAGGCGTGTGAAGTGACATTGTTGGTACCCCTGTTGTTGGCGTTACGTGGCTCGGTAACTGAGTGCCTTGTGATAAGCTGCGATTTAACTGAGGGGTATTGTTGCTCATTCCCCTCATTGGAAGGCCTAGTGCACCTATTGAAAAAAAATTCAGAGGGGTGGAGATACAGAGCAATCAGGAACAAAGTCTTCTCCATCAGGTGTAGATGGAAACAATTTATGCTGACAACCTACAAAAAAGTGTAAAGACTGAAGGAAAGTGCAGTGTAAAAACTAAGTCCTTGTTTGCATAGTAGAAGCCCAATTATCTCAAATTTAGCCCTGTTTCTGTTAAACTTTAAAAAGGCTCTTTAAGGAATTTCTGTATTTGAGTCACTAACAAAATTTTATTTCCTTCGAGATGCATACTGTGGAGAAAGGTTTACTTTTGAGTTTTTGATGAGGACATGGAAACCTACAAATTACCTCAAAAAAGGCAGCATTTTGAGAAAATAACTGCACTCAAGAAATATGTTAATTACTTTTGAATAAACTGGTATGTATTTGGCCAGTATTTATAACACTGATCTGTCTTGTTAAAAATTAAGCAAATCTTTAATAACAAAGAAAATTATTAATATTTTGTTAACAATAACATTGCTTTTAGGACAACAAAAGCAACTTTTTAGGCCAGTTCTCTGTAAACTTTAAGTTGCTTCTTTTTGACAACAGAACTTCACTGTCTATGATCAAGTCAAGTTCAAACTTTCAAGAAAAGAAAGGAAGCAGAATTTTGACTGCCCTGTATTAGCATTTAAAAATATACAGAAGATTTTTAACATTGTGACCAAAAGTATTTTCTACACAAACAATTGGGCGTGACAGAACACAGTAAGCACTTCAGTGAGGTAAAAAAAGAAATCACTTTAACTCAGAACAGCAAAAGATAACCAGCTGCTGCCCATCTCAAAATGTCCAAAAAATTTATGAAGTTTCTCATCGTTCTCACATTGCTTTTCTGTGTTTATGAAGTTTTGGAATGGTGGTCAAAGACAAGAAAAAGTAATTTAGTGCAACATATCAATAGAAACAAACCTAGCATATAGAATGTGATAGCTCTAAGTAACACTCCCTATTGCTTTGGCATAAGGCTGCTGAGGTAGACTCGTAGAACTCAAAACTCTATCTTGCAGACCAAACAAAAGAAAAACAGTGATGAATCAGCACTCTCCCATGGTAGATCACCCCTGCAGAAAAGCTGAATATGCCAGTGTACAACATGATTAAATACTAAGAAGGCAAAGAATGGGCATAGCATACGCTCAGGTTATCATCGTGGACAAGGTCTGAAGAAACCTCCCAGTTGTTTAGTTCTCACACTTGAAGAACTGCTGTCTGTCTGTGCCCTACCCTACAATTTGCAATCCAAGAAATTTGCAATAACACTCAAAGTTTTGATAACACTCAAATTTATCTCTATACATTCAGATTAAGAGGTAGTGTGACTTGCTATAACAGGCCTCCTAAGACTTCATTAAATGCTGATTATATCAAGGTGTTCACTGTAAATATTTTGGCAATTTGCTGCATCAGAATAATTTCAATAAGCAGAAATATAAGTAATATTTAATGCTGATTAACAATTAGGTGGAATTTAAAAAATAAAACGGTAAAGAAAAAATACATACACTTCCAAACTAGCTACAGTACACTGAAAAACATGATTACAATATTCAGGTTAATTTTATGCAAGCATTTGTTTCAGCGAAGCCAGTTTTACACTGATGGTTATTTCTTGTTGGCTTTCTTTAAACTAGAATTTTTAATGAGTAGGGCTGTAACAACAAAGTAGAACTATATTCCTGTGGCTGGCAAGTAGGGGCAGTTGAAATAATCACCATATGAAAAAAAAAAAAAAAGAAAAAAAAAAATCTTTTTTCTTATGCTTCCTTTTTCCACTTTTTTTAACTGAGACAAGAGATCTGCATGGGCTATATTGGAGGAGGCTGATCAATGAAGTGGCCAATTTCCTGCCTAACAGTTAAGTTTAAGTTACATTAACTCTATAACATGACATCTTGCTAAATGACTGACAGCTACCAATCTAAAAGTGCATAGGCATTATCAGCTTTGTTTTTCCCAAAAGCATTTTAATCATAAGCATTGACTTCAACACAGAAGTTTCTTGCTCCTTTTTCTCAAGAAAACTGAACCCTGATAATATTTACTTTCTAGTTTTTAGCCATGCATGTCTCCATGTTAGAAAGATTATGTCCTAGGCACCACAACCAACTGAATGAAGAAAGTTGATGAAAAATGTTAACCTTAAAAATAAACAACAAATAACTGTGAGAAACAGAATGAATAAACCACTTCAGAAGCTTTATACAGTTAAGTCTGAAAGGTTCAATAGTGCCAGATTCAGGACCCAAAAAGCCAAGAGCCAAACATGACTCTCAGACTGGCCAGAAACTGCTCATATAAACCTCAGTAGCATAATCAAATGCCAGTTTATATTATGTGGTCACTCATCAACAGCCACTGAGATAGTAAAAAAAAATCCCTATATTTTTTTAAACTATTTGAAGAAAGCCGAAAGAAGTTCTGAAGGCCATGCATCTAGCAGACAAAGCTTTTAGTTTGTCCAGATAAAAAAGTCCAGACTCTCTAAAATACTCTGAAGACACTTTTTCTTAGATTCCAAGTCAGATGCACTTGACAACAAAGCTGCAAACATTCAAAAGCATACAGTGATAAAAGAGAGATGTTCACAAACCCGTTTTACTTGTGTAACTGTATCTAACTCAGATATTCTGAGTCACTTTCTGGATGCACCTCTCAGCTACAAGGAGGCTCAGTTCTCAACGCTGGCCCTTAAGTTAGGTGGCTAGCGTTACACACTGCGACTGTTGTTCTACAGGTCTTCTATTGCAACAATACACACAAGACTGGCAGATACAGAAAAAAATCTTCAAGGTATGGGAAAGAAAAAAACAGTAGTGCAGAAGGCAATAATCTTACTGGCATAGTTATTTGCCAAATGTGAGTGGCCAAGCATGTACACAAGATTTAATTTGCTCCCGTAGAGCATGAAATATCAGTTATAATTTAAGGTATAATTTCCTTCTATTCCTTACGTATTTTTCTGAACCAGGCTCATTTTGGCCCAGCTCACTTTCCTTAGTTGTTCCTTCAGAGAGTCACAGTTAAATCACAGACATTCTTTATACGATGATTATATTTGGATATTTAAGTTATACGGTGTCAATATATGATACTGCATAATGCAGTTTAGTGCATACTAGTTTAGTGCATACTAAACACTGCAAAAAATGCATACTAAGCAAAGCAAAAATGTATCTTCAAAAGAAAAAAAAAATGGCACAAATAAGGAGACACTGTCTTTTTTACAATCACCAGAAAACAAAGCCATATGCACGTTCTCTATCCAAAGAGCGTGAAACTAGAGCATATTTAGCATAAAATAAACATATTATCAATAAAAAGAATTCTTACTTTGTTGCCCGTATAAACTTGCCCCAAACTGAGACAGCTGACCTGATGTTGATGGTGATGCCAGCATCTAAATGAGAGAAGAATAAAAGATTATTAAAGACACAAAGATACTGCACTATCTTGGTCTGAAAGTTTACAACTGTATATTGCTTTGCCAAGAAAGCCAAAACAGCAACTGAAAACTCCTTTTAAGTCATCAGAAGTTTTAGAAACTCCCCAAATTATCTGCACAGTAACAACTGTAACAGTATAGTACATGCCAATAAAAATTTGACTTTACATGTATAAAAATAGACTTTCTTTTACTTTCAACAAATAGCATATAGGAAGAAGATCCAAAAGCTTTCAGTTTTTCTACCCTTGTAGCTAAGACACCCATCTTTACAGAAGGAGGAATACTCAGGTATTTAAATCAGATATAGGATTTTTTCTCTCCTGCAAAACACGCATCATACAAGCAGATCAAACCCTGTTCAATGTAATAACAGCAAGCGCAAAATTTCATATTATCAGTAGCAAAAGGTGGGAAATGAGTGGCTAGGAAGCAGCAGGTATATAGAAACAGATATGAACTTCAGATAAGATTCCAATGTTAAAATTATAATGTACCCCCCTAAGGGTACACGCTTGTATACACCATATGAACAGGCAAGATGTACAAACGTCAGAAGGAATATTTCCTGCTCTATTATGCCCACTTTAGAGACACCACATATTACCACATATTTCCATTAAAACCTTTTTTGTCAACTTTCAGACATCACACAAGAAGTGTGACAAACTAGAGAGACTCTTGAGAAGATCTAAAAAAGAAAAATAAAATCAGGATCTATGAAGAAAGATTGAGATTTGGGTTTGCATGCTCCAAAGAGAAGGCAACTAAGGTAGGGACATGACACCAGGCTTCCAGTCATTGCTGTAAGAGGAGAAGAATAAACTACTCTCCATACTGCTGCAGAAATTGAAAGTATTAATAAATATGAGAAACAGGAGATTTAGGCTAAACATTTGGGGAAAAAAAAAGCCCTTTGCAATCTTAAGGACAGTTAAGCACCAGGACGTTTCTAAAGAACAGATTAGGTATAGCTGATTGTCCCTTGGAGCAAGAAGAGGTATTAGTTGACCTAATCCATCCAGCTCACAACAGAATATGCTACTCGTACTTACTAACCCATAGGCACATGTCTGCTTGTTTAGCGCAGTAGTCTGGACTTGGACTGAATTTTAGGATGGTTTCAAGGAAAGGAATGTCTGGATTAAACAAAAGGGGATTTCAAGCTTTTTCTATTTGAGAGCAGAGAATTCAAATAAAAATAACTTTTACTGTGATAAATTACAAATTGCTTTGTTGACTTGATCTAGACAGATGTAAAAAACAAACCTTATAAACTGAATCTGCTAGTTGTCTATACTGAGGCCAAATGTAGATGGTAGAAATGAGAAAGAAGACATGCAGGATAGACACTAAATATCAAAAGTAGCATTCATGTCTGTAAATCACAAAGCATTTACGATTTTTTGAATACATACAGAAAGCATGAGAAGAGAAATTACAGCAGGCAATTACTGTAGACCACCAGAAAACGTATCAGAAATATCACCCCAAAATACTATATACTCACACATATTCTGAACAAAGTACACATATTTGATAGTAAGCAACTACAGCAACAAACATCCACACTTGCATACATAAGAGGTTTGAAATACTAAGACAAAAACTTCCCGCAGAAAAAAATATAACTAAAATACATGAAAAACTGGACCAATGTTCTCCTTTCTTAGTGAAGAACTGGCTGTGAGCAAAAGAACATTTTAAATAACTACCAGTGGCTTCAGCTCAGCACTCAGGTTCACAGGCCACATCTGCATCAGCAAGTAATGCTGCCAGAGAGAAGTGCATTTGTAAAACAAAAAAGTTGGTCCTGAGGGCCCAACATACTACTGTATGCATTTCTAACTAGAGTTAGCTGTGACTAAAACACCTGATGCCACTGACTGGTTGCCAGTTCATGAGTGAAACAGGTTTGGTGCATCTCTTCCAGCTTATTTTGATCCAGAAGGAATCAAATTCACTCACACCAAGACTGCTCTGCAACGTGAACCAAAGCATGCAGAAGTGGGGACACCTGGAAGACAGACTTCAAAAGCACACTCCCCACCCATACTAACAAACTGATGTTTGTTAAACATTGATAAAACAAGCTGATAGAGTAGTTTTAAGAAAGGAAAGACAAAGTAAAATGGGGAGGTAAAAAAAAAAAACAAAAACAAAAAACATTCGAGTTTGACAAGTTGGAAAATCCTAGAACATGTTGCAAGGTGTGGCAAACTGTAATTCTTTGGAAAAAATGAGAGAAAAAGTTACAAGAAACCTTCAGAGAAAATGACAAGGGCACACAAGCAAAAAAAACAAAACCAAACCAACCAGACATTCAGATAGAAACAGCAGTCAAAAAGTACTACTAGCTCTGGGACAGGTAAGGAAAACAGTTAAGCCAAAAAGAAGATCCAGTAAGAACAGCTGCTCAGGGCATTCGAAAATTGCTGTGATTGTATGTGATATAATAAGCAGAAGATGGTAAAAATCTCAGCATAAAACCCTTTTATTAATAATGTTAGCTTGGATACAAAAAAAACCCCAAAAACCCAAAAAACAAAAAAAGCCCCAACAAACAAAACCAAAAACCAACAAAAAACAAACAAAAAACCCCACCAAACAACAAATCGCAGACCTAAGATGTACTAGATTACTTGAAAGAGAGGAAAAAGAATCCCACCTCTTCTATACTGAGTACTACTTGACTTTTTAAATTCAGTTTAAAGAAAAGGAATGGCAAATAATATTTCAGGAACACTGCTTATTAGAAATTGGATTTTCTTTTGAAACATTGCAAAGTAGGTCACATGTATTGTGCCATTTGCTTTTACATGAAAAGTTAATTGCAAAATAACTTGTAGAGAAACCTTTATCGAAAACTGTAATAAAGGCCAAGTATTAAATTCAATAAGTCTAACAACTAGTCTTAAAGTCATAACATACTTAGAACATCAGAGACAACAAGCTTGAAGAAGAAATAAATAAAAGTGTCTGTGGATCTGTTCCAGGCTGATTAAATGCAGCATTTCTCAAGTCTCATGGAGAAGGAATATGCTGTATGGGTATCTCACTTATTCTTCCGCTAGTTTATTTTGTAATATGCCAAAAAACCCTCCCCAGTATTAAGCACTTCTTTCTGTCATAGGTAAGTAAGGAGTAGTTTAAAATTTTGTCTTCTTTTTCTGTTATTATTTCGATATAATTTCGATATAACAGCAAAACAACTAAATTAGCCAAAACCTTAACCTATGCTACCAGGACCTTTATTTGCATTCACCACCTCTGAGTCACTATTATATAGTGTACTCAAACTTGGTCTACCAAACATAGCAAAGTTTCAAGATGAACGATATTAGTAGTATTAAAAACATTCCTTCTGGCATTCTGCAATCATTATTTTATATGACTGGGCTACTAATCACACGACACACAAAATATAACAACCCTCCAAGAGTGTACTTGCAACAGTGGCTGGAAGTCACTCTTGAATTTCTTTTAGTCTACAACAGCCAAAGGTCACGATAATCTTAATAAAAACCAAGGCAGTCTAACCCTTAAGGTCACTAAAGCCTCTTCCAGTTGGTAAGATCTTTTAAACTTTACCCAATTCTGTCAATATTTTAGGAAAAAAATGCTCAGAATCATACCTGTAACAACCTTTGAAAAACAAAATGTACCCAGTTACTGAGATCACGTCAATGAACAGCATATTCTAGCAGTATATATACAATACCAATGTTTTAAAACAAGTGACTAATAATCATACAATCATAGAATCATTGAGGTTGGAAAAGACCCTTAAGATCATCGACTCCAACCGTTAACCTATCACTGCCAAGTCCACCACTAAAAATCTTGGCAGGGGGGCTGGAGTTAGATGATCTTTAAGGTCCCTTCCAGACCAAGCCATTCTATGATTCTCTGATCTTTGATCAAGCCAAGGAAATTGTTAAACAAGCTTCTGACACAGCTTTTGCTGCACATGTACAAAAAATCCTCCACTCTTCAAACTTTGGAATTTAGGTTTAAATCAATTTGCCAGTGGTTAGCAGCTACAAAACCCAGTTGTGACACAGCATGGGATTTCTGCTTCTCTTCCAACCTTGTATGACTGAACAAGACAGATTGTTTCAACTGGCTTTCGCTGTACATGTTAGGAGCCGGAGGAGGCCTAAGACATGCATCTGACAGGGCAAGGAGACAACTGAGCAAACAAGACCTTGTGTAACATGAAGGGTGCACTTCATTCTGCTAGTGTATGGAAGGACCGACACTCAGTACCAGCAGGCTGAAGGACTGAGTTGATGATAGCCAACTAAGATGTGAACATCATTTTACTTACAAGTCTCATATGGTCACAGTGGAGGTCTGATCATGGGAGATTCTGCTTCTAAACTCAAACCAACCGATGATCCAAGCAGATGGCCCAGTTTTTCTGGACTGGTCCACGCCAAAAATGAGTAAGCTATAACGTGCTATCAGGCAATTTCCTACCCCTGGTGATGAACGAGATTTTACTGTAACTGCTTTTGTTAACTCTTGACGGGTTTACTGCAGTAAGTTCATTTAAGAGTGTCAACAACCTCAAAAAAACAGCACCAGCAACTGCTTAAATTTGCCAGAACTGTGAAAAAAACTGCTGCGTTTTACAACCTTCTCGGGAGACTGGCGAACACAGGCTGCAGCCTCCCTGAAAGCAGCGGGAGGCAGCGGGAGGAGGCCCAGCAGCAGAGCTGGCTGACAGGGTTCCCGCCTCCCCGCTGCACTGCAGCACCCTGCCTCTTCCAAGCAAACCCCCAACTTACAGCCGCCTGTCACCGTAACTGCAACGGTAGCGCACCTCGGCACGGTGGCACCAAGAAAACTCAGTAAAGCAACGCTTCCGCGAAGGCTGCTGTGTTATGCAGTCATAGCCTAAAGCTACTTCACTAAACACAAAGCAAGCTGAAGTTAAAATACATCAATCC